TTCTAGAATGTACACAAGCCCACCCACTTAGGAATCAGCACCAGAAGGATGCAATTTGCTGTGAGTAGCCGAGGGAAGTGAGTAAAAGCAGGGTGAGAGCCAAGCAAGTGATATTGTTCCTTCTCTGACCTCTCCCCCATATACAGCAACAGCACCACAACCCAGCAAAGTGAGTTGCCCCACCCTAGTAAATACATAAACCTCCACCCTCTACAACAAAACAGCTATGTTAAGATGAAGAAATATGTCCCAAATGAAAGAAAAGATCAAAACTCCAGAAAAAGAACTAAGTGATGAGGAGATAGCCAACCTATCAGATAGCAGAGTTCAAAACATTGGTAATCAGGATGCTCACAGAAATGATTGAGGATGGCCACAAAATAAAGAAAGAAGTGAAAGCTATGCAAAGTGAAATAAAGAAAAATATTCAGGGAACCAACAGTAAAGGGAAGGAAACTTGGATTAAGATCAATGATTTGGAACAAAAGGAAGAAATAAACATTCAACTGGAACAGAATGAAGAAACAAGATTTTTTTTTTTAAATGAAGAGAGGCTTAGGAATTTCTGGGACAATTTTAAATGTTACAACATCCAAATCATAAGGGTGCCAGAAGGAAAAGAGGAAGAGCAAGAAATTGAAAACTTATTTGAAAAAATAATGAAAGAAAACTTCCCCAATCTGATGAAAATTGATGTACATGTCCAGGAAGCTCAGAGAGTCCCATAGAAGTTGGATCCAAGAAGAAACACACCAAGACACATCATAATTAAGTTGCCCAAGATTAAAGATAAGGAGATAATCTTAAAAGCAGCAAGAGAAAAGGAAACAGTTACCTACAAAGGACTTCCCATAAGACTCTCAGCTGATTTCTCAAAAGAAACTTTACAGGCAAGAAGGGGCTGGAAAGAAGTATTCAAAATCATGAAAGGCAAGGATCTCCATCCAAGATTACTCTATCCAGCAAAGCTATCATTTGGAATGGAAGGGCAGATAAAGTGCTTTTCAGATAAGGTCAAGTTAAAAGAGTTCATCATCACCAAGCCCTAATTATATGAAATGTTAAAGGGACTTATCTAAGAAAAAGAAGATCAAGACTATGAACAGTAAAATGACAACAAACTCACAACTATCAACAGCTAAACCTAAAAATCAAAACCAAAACCTAAGCAAACAACTAGAACAGGAACAGAATCACAGAACTGGAGATAACATGGAGGATTATCAGTGCAGAAGCAGAAGGGGGAGAATGGGAGAAAAGATACAAGGAATAAGAAGCATAATTGGTGGTACAAAACAGACAGGGGGAAGTTAAGAATAGTATGAGATGGAGAAGCCAAAGACCTTATATGTAAGACCTATGGACATGAATGAAGATGTGGGGGGATTCTGAAGGGAATGGGGTACAGGGTGGGGAGGTATAAAAGGGACAAAAAATTGGGACAACTCTAATAGCATAATCAATAAAATAAAAATAAAAGTTACTAACAAAATAACCAGTTTCTGTAAGTACTGGAGAAGGACCTTGCATTATGATTCTTCATTAGGTGGGTTTTGGGTATAATTTTTTTTCTTTATCAGAAAAAAACAATTCCTTGTCACCTGTACCCACACTTTACATCTAACAGCCACCCTACAATAGCAACTACTTCACTTTTTTTAAAAAAATTTTTAGCAGCTACTTCACTTTATATATATTTAACTTGATCCATGGGGCAGTCTGTGAGTAATTTGATGTAGCAGACAGATGTGCAGAAGCTGCTCTCCAGGTGGGGCAGTAACCTAAAAGCCCCTCTTGGTGGTGCACCAGCTCTCCCAGGTGTGAGAGTACTATCATCTATCATTTCTCTAGCCTATGAAATTGTCTCTAGGGAACCACCACTGAAACTGCAATAAAGTTGAAAACAAGCCTTCAGAAGTCCAGGTGTTGGTTTGGTTTCAAGAGTATTATTTCATTATCACTCTTTTTTTAATTAGAACCCAAGAGTTCTTTCTTGAGAGACAAAAAAGAAAAATCCAAATAGAGCTCTACAACCGTCTTTCTATTTTAGAAATTTAAAAAATGGCTGCTGCTGACAAATTCCAAAATTATTGGTAGCATTTGGCTATAGAAATTGTGACAAGGATCCCAAAATGATTTTCCACAGGAGGCAGTGGTAGGGAGTGGGAAAGGAACACAATTTTAGGTCCGCTAGGCCACTGAGCAAGCCATTCAACATCATGTGATGAGAATAGGGATTGTCAAAGGCCACGATGCCATTTCTTCTGGATACAGGTGTAAGAGGCCATGGAGAGTTTCAAAGCCAGCCAAAGACAGAATTTGCAGTACCTCCAAATTCCTCATCCCCTCTCCTCCCCCAAGCACTGTGCAGACTTGCTGGGTAGTTATATTGATATTTTCAGAGGATTAAGGGCCACCTATTTCTCTAGCCATCTGTGTTTGGCTTTGTGAATGGAGGCTATGCAAATGTGGGCAGTGGATAACAGGCCAGAGCCTTGGGTGGGCAGCATTGTGACTCTAAGGGAAGCGGGGGTTTCCCAAGAATGCCCTCATTGAAGCAGACAATGAGGTGAGAGTTCTGAAGGCAATAGGCAGAAAAACCACCTGAACAGCACCTGGATTGTTGCAACAGAGTTGGGCTGGATGAGGAAAGCAGAGAGACAGAACTTATGCCAACTAGAAGGATGTGGCTCTTGATCACCAAAAAAAGAGGGTGGGAACTCCTACTGGTATATGGAACCACTCAGTGGGGAATCTCAGTAACTGAGGAAGGATGGCAACAAATTTAAAAGGGCACATTGGTTTCTAGTGTAGGAATTATGATAGTTTCAGGATTTGCACACCCACAGTTCCCTGAAGCTTCTCTAGAAGCTCTTTAGACCTATGAGTTAGGGACCATTCTGGCAAAGTTGTGCTTAAGTGTCTGGACTTCAGGTATTATTGATAATTTGGTCTAGGAAACTATTGTCTGAAATGGGTCAAAACATCACCCTACTGAGTTGGTGCCTCCTGAGGCAGCCACCCCTACACCAATGTCTTTACTCCAGGAATTAGATGTTGGATGTTGGCAAGGGTTTGTAGAGGCCAAGAACCCTATAACTAGGACTCCCATTGATTTGACTGCATCCATTCAGAATTCAGTGGTCTGGAGTAACTCTAGAAGTGAGCAGTTCTCTATTTCCATTAGGAGCCCTCAGCCTTCCATGCTATAGGGTTCAGAAACACCATCCTTAAACCCTAGTTTCACACACAGCTTTCCTACTATTCCAATGAATTTCCAATCATAGGGCATTTTGTAGAGTTTTGTCACCTATTTATTTGGCACAGTTTTATTCTGTATCAATGAAAAACCAACCAAGGCCAAGTATATAGAGTATAAACAGTGCAGTTGCATTCATCAATTCATTCTCTTATTCTTCATTTCATGAACAGGCAAAGGATGGCTGTTGCAGGCAAATGCTGAGCTAGACAGCCATGGAATGATTACACAACAGACCTGACTATATGTGTGCCTCTAGGAGCATCCTTCCTTCCCATCACTTTCCTGAGCTCATCTCTTACCACTCCCCCTTTGTTTATATCCATCCCACCTCCCCAAGTGGTCTGAGCACATCCTTGCACCTACTATTTCCTCTCTCCAGAAGCCTCTTATCCCAATCTCCACCTGGTTCACTCTTTTCCCTCAGGTATTTACTCACTAAGCCCTGTCTTAGGTGACTTAACCTTTTTTTGGCTTCCTCCTGCCCTCTCCTGATTTATGTTTTCTCCTAATCATTCTCATTCTCTAACATTCTACATATTTGCCTATTTGTTGCTTGAATATAAGGGATGTTTGTTTGATTTGGTCCCTGCTGTTTCCCCAGGGCCCAGAACAGTGTTGAGCATATAATGAAGGTGAAGTAAATATTAGTAGAATTAATAGTCATATGAATATATGACCTGAACAACAAAGTAGATAATTAAGCATGAAATTGGGTCATGTTCTGGTTAAGTGAATAGATGATAATTGATATACCTGAATCCATGCTGATCATAGCACAGCCTTTTGTCATTAGACTTCTCTTTCAATGCCTCAGTAGTCCCTGAGACTCATTAGCTCCTCTCCCAAGAATTAACGTAAAGCCTTGGAAAACAGAAGGTGCCCATCTGCATGGGCACCAGGTTTTCTTCCCCTGTGCACATACATAACATCCTTTAACAGTAATAGAAACGACAGGCTCACATACAGCAAGAGTGAAGCCCGTGTAATCTATGTGTCTCCTGAAGAAGTGAAGTGTCCTGTTCTAAGACACTAGCATTAAATAAAGTACAAGTTTAATAACTGTTCTTGGTTATTCCATAAATAAATAAGTGTTCTTGGTTATTCCAAAAATGCACCCAGTCTTCACCAATCATCTGTAAATAAAGCATGGCCATATTACCCTCCATGAAAGAAAGCATTTATTTGAACAGTTTTCAGTGAAAAATTAGCAAATATAAACACTAAAAGAGCTGCTCTCCAAAAAGAGATTAAATTGAGCATCAGTACAATTGCACAAAGACTATGTTGCAACATGGAGATGGACTGTTTTTCTGGTCATTATTAATCCAGAAATCCTAATTATGAACAACATTTGTGTTATTGTCTACCCAAATTTAATTTGTTTATGCAGCAGTTCAGTTAATCCTGCAATATGTTTTTCTCAAACGAGGGCAGATAATGGAGACACCGTTCTTTACAGGTCTTCAGGCTTTTAAATGCTGATAAAATCAGGATTCTTCACTGGGTCTTGCCCTAGCTCTGAATTAAACCACTTTAAATGTAATTATGGAACCTGGCCTTACATCAGGAACATCCATTTAAAAAATTGATTGGCCAGGCTATTCCACGAAGCATTTTATGAGCAAATGATTGCAGTGGGGCCAGGACTATAATTTATAACAGAAAAAAAGCAGGTAAATACTTTATTAGTGGTAATGAGAGGGTTTCCAGCTAACTGAATCTTTTCTTTCCTCACTAGCTTCTTCACGGAGCCCTGGTGTATTGCCCTCTTTCATGATCGTTTTATTGATCTCAGGAAAGAGTTACGCCAAATCTTAACCTCTAAGGAGGTAAGAGTGATTAATGGATATGTGGGTTATTCCTTGGAAATTATAAACAGTTTATAGTTGTTGATAATTTAGACTTTCCCCTGAATTCCCACTTTATGGTTTTACTTTTCAAACTAACTATACCTCATATAAACAAACTACAGAGTATGTAAACATGGATGGTGATATTCAGGGAGAGTGGATTATTTAAATCCTTTTACAAAGGGCAAATTTCTTTTTCCTTTACAAAAATAATTGTATTTTCAGTATCAGCTAACAGTGTTGATGAATGCTGGACATGAATTATATCTGCTTGTCCTCAAGAATGAAGATTGCATTCCTTTAGTTTATGACCAGCTATTTGCAAACATTTGTGTGCATGTACTGTTTCAACATGTAAAGAGAAGTCATCAGATGTCTGAACACACTTCTTTTGTAACCAAAACTTCTGTCTCAAAGCAGTACAGAATTAACTGTAAGTTAGGCTACACATCCCAAAGGCTCCGTGTTCAGCAAGAAATTCGACTCTGCAATGTAAATAGTAAAATATTTGTGAAACTTTAAATTATTTCTTTCAACACTAGAGTGCTTACCAGAGTTGGGTAAAGTTAACATCTGTGCTTAATTAGTGGTCAAATATCCTCAAAGACTGCCCCTTGCTTCACTCAGACACCAGCTGAAGCACAACTGACCTTCCACCTCATTTTTCTGTTTATATGGGCAAGTCCTGCATTTCTGTTGTCATCATAACAAGAACCAACCCAGGTGGGCAGAGGGACTGTTATCATCTGTCCCTTACCAATGAGAAAGCTGAAGCTGAAAGACTTTAAGTGACCTGCCCATCGTTTGCACAGCTAGTCAGTAGCCAGCAAGCTTCAAACTCAAAGATCTTTCACTCCAAAGACAGGAACACAGGCAGTGAGCCACATGGAACCCAACTATGTGGCTTGGTATTTTCTCTTCATTGTGCACTCCTCCCAACCCCTGCTTTTCTGTTTTATTGCTGGGATTCAAGCTAGGAAACGGAAACAATTTTATTAATCTGAAGTAGATTCAGATTGAGAAAAATAGGTTTAAAATTTAAATCAAACTCAGTTGCTGTCGGGGTGTACATAGGTAGAAAGCTGGCAGGTAAATGTACATGAGAGAAGTAGAGGGGACTATGACTATAGGTCAGACAGTTCCCTGCACTTCATCCTGAGGCTGTAAGGAAGTCAGGTCCAGTTGAAATATGAGTCCCAATTGAAAGCCTGGTGTTCACTGAACTCTGTTTAATGACTCGGATACCCTGCTGCCTCTCAAAATATACTCTACAGCTCATGTCTGCCTCATAGTAAAGATTCATTAATTTTCTAGTTACCCCATCAAAACTCTGTTTCCCATATCCTCTAAAGCCCAGATCTGAGCTCTCTGTTAACATTTTCCACAAGGCCAAAGGGTTTCAGGTGTCAAGCTAAGAAAAGGAAGCTTTTCCTTCACTTTTCCAAATAAACTGTCAAACCCAGTAACTCACTTTTCATGGCACTCACTGAGAACTGTCAACCTTTACCAGTGAACAGACATTTGCTCTGGTTCAGTTTCCCATAAATGAACAATGTGGACAGCAGGCTCTTTCAGTAGATCATAAGTAGCCACGGACATTTGTGGAAGAGACACTAAGGGCTCCCTAACAATTCCTGTGGGTTTTTTAGATTTCCAGAATCCAGAAGAGGTGGTGCATGCAGTGGTGTCTGCCTCTAGCTCAGATTCCCATAGAACAGGGACTTGCTGTTCCCACCTCAGAGAGCTATGGAAGGGGTAAAGAATGGGATGTGTGCAAGTATCTGACACAGAAGAATGGCTCTCAGTAACTGCCAGTCACCACAAGTAACAGTGGTGGTGACAGTTATGGTGGAGACAGGCTGACAGTGGAAATGGCAATCATATAAACACATGCAGAAATTTCATATTAAGAGTCTGATATTAGGAAAATAGAGAGTGTATCCTTTACTAAAGAATAATAGTAATTCTTCTTCTCTAGTACTGAGTTGATGTAACCCATTTCATCTCAGTTTCTACCTTGTTTTCATGGAAATTCAGAAATTAAAATCCATTAACTATAATATACTAAAGCTTAGCATATCAATTTTCCTCCTTTTCCACATGAGGAGAAAGGAATAAAAAATATTGTCTATGACTGTTATAAGTTACCTTAAATCTATATGTCATTTATTTTAAAAAGCAGCTCATTATTTAAGACATCTCAAATCTGTTTGTGGATGTTAAGAGAGGAAATCCACTGGTACTGCAGTTAGCTATGATTGAAGCCAAAGAGTCATTCACCAAAGTGAAATATTGTGGAGTGAAAATTACCCCTCAAAATCCTTCAGGAAATATATAACAATTATAAACATATTATACCTAAGAGCAGAACCCCAAGATATATGAAGCAAAAGTTGACAGAATTGAAAGAAGAAATTATTCTGAAATGATAGCTGGAAACTTCAATATATCACTTTTAATAATGTATAGAATAATCAGAATATCAGTAAGGAAATAAAAGACTTGAACAGTACTATAAATGAACTAGAACCAACACATGCATACAGAACACTCTACCCAACAATAATAGCAGAATGCACATTCTTCTCAAGTGTACACATATCATTCTCTAAGATAGGCCATATTTTAGGCCACAAAGTAATTGTCAATAAATTTTAAATATTTAAATCATACAAAATATATTATCTAAACACAATGAAGTGAAATTGGGAAATAACAATAGAAAAAAATCACAAATTTTTGGAAATTAACAGATTCTTAAGCAACTTCTTTGATCAAAGAAGTTATCTAATGGGATATTAAAACAGAGGCAAATGGAGATTAAAACACAATACACCAAAATATATGGGATGCATCAAAATCAGCTTTCAGAGGAAAATTCATAGATGTAAATGCCTACATTTTAAAAAAGGAAAGGAAAGATCTCAAATCAATAACCTAATTTTATATCTTAAGGAGATAGAAAAAAAGAAGCCAAAGAAAACCCAGTGCTAACAGAGGAAAGAAATTATATAAATTTTAGTGAAGATAAGGGATATAGGAAGTAGAAAAATGACAGAGAAAGATTGATGAACACAAAAGCTGGTTCTTTGAAAAAATAAACAAAATTAACAAACCTTTAACCAGACTGACTAGGAAAAAAGATAAATTACTAAAATCAGAAATAAAAATGAGGACATTACCACTGACTACAGAAGTAAAAAAGGATTATAAGAGAATATTATGAACAACTGTATGCCAAACAATTAGATAACCAAGATGAAATGGACAATTTTCCTAGAAACACACAACTATAAAAACTGACCCCACAAGAAATAGGAAATCTCAAGAAACCTGTAACAAGTGAAGGTTGTTTTGAATTAGTAATCAAAAACCTCTCAGCAAAGAAAAGCCTAAGACCAGACGTCTTCACTGGTGAATTCTACCACATATTTAAAGAATTAACACCAATCTTCCTCAAACTCCTCCTAAAAAAGATAAAAGAGAAAGGAGCACTTCCTAGTTCATTCTGTGGTGTCATCATTACCCTGATACCAAAGCCATATCAGAAGAAAAAAACTACAGAACAATATCCCCTATGGATTTAGATGCAAAAATCTTTAAATGAATACTAGCAAACTAAACCAGCAGCATATTAAAAGGATTATACACCATGATCAAGTGAGAATTACCCCAAGAATGTAAGGCTGGTTCAACATATGAAAATTAGTCATGATTATAATAAAGGGGGGTAATGCTACCATCTCAATTGATGGAGAAAAAGCATTTGACTAAATCAAACATGCTTTTATGGTGGTAAAAAAAAACACTGAAAAAAACTAAAAATAGAAGGGAACTGCCCCAACCTAATAAAGTGTATGTATGAAAAACCCACAGCTAACATCACATTTAATGATGAAAGAGTGAAAGCTTTACCTCTGTAATTTGGAACAAAACAAGGATGCCTGCTTTCACCACATTTGACATTGTACTGAAAGTTCTAGCCAGAGCAATTAGGCAGGAAAAAGAAAAAAAAAAAAGACCTCCGCATTGGAAAGGCAGAAGCAAAACTATCTCTATTTTCCAATGATAAGATCTTACATATAGAAAATCCTACATAATGCACAAAATAACATTAGAGCTAATAAATTAAGTCCACATATTCTGGGATACACGACCACATGATAATCAGTTATCTATATTAGCAATGAATAATCTAAAAATGAAATTAAAAAGCAATTCCACTTACAATAGCATCAAGAATTTTAAAATACATGGGCATAAATTTCACCAAGGAGATGTAAGATTGGCACACTGAAAACTACAAAACATTTCTGAAAGAAACTGAAGAAGACCTAAACAAATGGAAAGACTTCTGTGTTCATGGATTTGAAGATTAATTTGTTGAGATAACAATACTATCCAAAACAATCTATAGATTCAATGCAATCCTATCAAAACCCCAATGGCATTTTTTTTGTAGAAGGAAAAGCTAATCCTACAGTTCATGTGGAAATGCAAGGGAGTCCAAGTTTCCAAAACAATTTTGGATTTTAAAAAAAGTCAAAGGAGCCCTGGCTGACGTAGCTCAGTGGATTGAGCGTGGGCTGTGAACCAAAGTGTCGCAGGTTCGATTCCCAGTCAGGGTACCTGCCTGGGTTGCAGGCCATGACCCCCAGCAACCGCACATTGATGTTTCTCTTTCTCTCTCTTTCTCCCTCCCTTCCCTCTCTAAAAATAAATAAATAAAATCTTTAAAAAGGAGCAATCATAATTTGTCTAATTTTATAAAAAAAGTCAAAGGACATACTCTGTAAAATTTGAAAACACTACAAAAGAATAGTTACCAAGACAGCATGGTACTTACATAAAGATAGATAGAGAGATCAATGAAATAGAGTTCAGAAGTAAACTCATTCACATGAAAAGATGTTAACATCATTAATCATTAAGAAAATGCAAAGCAGAACCGCAATGAAATATCACATCACACCCATGAGGCTGGCTCTAGTAAATAATAATAATAATAATAATAATAATAATAATAATAATAATAATAGCAGCAAGTATTAGCAAGAATGTAGAAAAATAGGAACCCTCACACATTGCTGATGGGAATGTAAAATTGTGTAGCTTCTGTGGCAAATGGGTTGATGGTTCCTTAAAATCTTATATGCAAAGTTACTATATGACATAGCCATTGCACTCCTAGGTATATATAACCAAAGAATTGAAAAACAAGCATCCAAGTGAATAATAGTACATGAATGTTCATAGCAGCATTATTCAGAATAAATAGCCCAAGTGTCCATCAATGGATAACGTGGTCTATCCACATAATGTAATATTATGCTGCCATAGAAAGTAATGAAGCACTGATACATTCTACAAAGTGGATGAACATCAAAACATTATGTTAAATGAAAGACCCAAATACAAAGAACTGTGTATTTTATATGGCATTGTGAAGAGGGTTGGTCATAGATGAGCACTTTGAGAGGGGAGATGGTCACACTGAGAGGGGTCACACTATAAGAAGAAAATGCACAAAAAGTTGTTTACAATCTAGAGAAGTATTTGTCTTAGGTAAACTTAGAAGTTCTATTTTGTGACTTTACACTATTTATCCCAATGTCAAAACAGTATAAGGAGCCCCAAATCTTCAATAATTATTGTGGGGAACATCAATGTGTGTTTATTGCTTTCGTTTGACACAATTCTCCTGAAAATTAAGGGAAATGAGAACAAACTCATATAAATTGTAGAATATATCCTTGGGGACATGCTGGTGGCAATCAAATTATTAAGCACCTCTAGTATTTAGTTCTGGGCATCAGTTGCCTTTTTCTCTCTCACTATCTTTGTTGGGCTGATTTGAAGTCCTAGACTTCAGTGACTGTTCTTCTAATGGATGTGTACTTAATCTCTGACACTGAGGAGTGTCTCACTTAAATAACCAAGTGGTAATTTCCCTATGCCCCCATGTAGTTTGAATATTATTTTTTATATCTGTAAGTTCTTACTATTAATAAGTTAATGATCCAGTAGAACTATGCAAGTTACCACTTTTTTCTGTTCAAAATAAAAAGAATTATTGGAAGTTCAAATAAATATAACTTCAAAGTCCCTGTGACTCTTTCTTTAGGGTAATTTTCAATTATCGTGGTGTTCACAAACCATACAGTTCAAACCTTAGTGAAGTACTTTTTATAACAATCTTCCTATAGATAGATACATGGGCAGATGAAGCAAATATGGTACAACATTAACTATAGAATCCAAGTGATGTGTGTACAAGTACTAAGTTGTACAATTCTGTCAACTTGCTCTAGGCTTGAATATTTCTAGAATAAATGTTGGCAAAAATGATTACTATATTAGGGAGTTGCACGCCATCTGATTCTCAACCTCATGTAACTTTATTCTCCCTGAGCCCTATCTTTAGAGATATCAATGAAATTTGACTTTATTAAGAATGTATTCTAAGCTTTTAAAATCCGATTTCTTAGGAATTCTAACCAAGTAAAGTAAACCATCTAGAAATTTTTATGTAAAAATATTTAATTGCTTTTCTTATTTTTAAAATAATCATAATTACAGATAATTTTTATCTGAAAATTGAGATCTTAAAATCACTATGCTTGGTGAGCCCTGAGAATATCATGCTAAATGAAGTAAGCTAATAACAAAAAGACAAATACTGTATGATTCCACTTATATAAGGTGCCTAGAGTAGTCAGATTCATAGAGACAAAGTAGAATGGTGGTTGCCAGGAATTGGGATGAGGGAGAATGGGGAGTTGGTGTTTAATGGGGACAGAATTTCAGTCTGGGAGGATATGAAAGTTCTGGAGATGGATGTTGGTGATGGTTGCACAAAAATGTGAATGTCCTTAATGCCACTAAAATGTACATTTAAAAATAAGTAAAGTGGTAAATTTTGTCATGTATATTTTGCCACAATTAAAAATATTAAAAACTAGGACAAATTTAACCATCCTTGGGGAACTGACCACTATGTTTTTCATTTTAGTGAAACTGCCCTCTTATGGTGGGGCTAAGTGCAAGTAATTTCTGTATCTGGCTTCCTTGTTGTGTTTGCCAGGAGGAAAAACTCCCTTCCATAGAACAGTTGGCCCGCCAGATAGAAGATGAGGAAATTAACCTGAAGGAGAAGCCCAGGAAATACCTCAAAAGAGTTTTCCAGGAAACCATCTACAAGAAGCTGGTGGAGAAGAGCATCCTTGACTACTTGCAATATAACCACTACCACCTGCCCATGTATGCATGGCCAGGCATCATTTAGTTGTGGCCATGGTCTCCCCTTTATTGTTTTTTACACATATAGTCTCTAGAACTCCTCTATATAGTAGGAAACCTCTCTGAAGCCTGGCTTGACAGCCAACCACCGCTGTCTCCTGGTTTTGTCATTTCTTTTCGCATCCACTTATGCCTGTCATTTTCTATCAACCCAGTAGGTGGCACATGACAATGCATCTCTATTCTCAGTCAGGGAGAGTCTTTACTAATGCCAGGCATGTTCCTGAACAGAATAATCTATTTTAGCAATAAAATAAGATTGGGCTGTGGAAAACTTGTGTTGTTGCTGTTGTTGTTTTGTTTTTGTTTACTTTGAGTATGACTGTTTTATTTCCTCATTTCCTGAAATGTTCTGCCATCAATTTTATTAGTTTTTTACATGTTTACACAGTAATAATCTTGGGTGGTAAAAAAGAAAATTGTGTGCCCACGTGGACAATTAGTGAAATTGATGGTGAGAAATTAATTCAACATCAGAGGGATTGGTTGTATAGGAAAGTTTAGCTCACCTTTTGAATGAAAAGGCTGCAGTCACAACCCCTGCATTTCTATACCATGTTGCAAGTCATGACAAATGCAGTGAAAAACTAGAATATAACACATGGGCTCATGCACAGATTTATTTTATTTTATTTTATCTCACGTGCAGGTTTTAGACTAGAAAACAGTAGTGGCAAATTAATCTAGTTGATTTCCTTTGACCTTTAGCCCTGTGACTTTGCTTGAGGGATGGGGGAGAACTGGTACATGTCACCTGTAATATGGGTCAGCGACCCTCTCTCTTACAAATAAGGCAAATTAAGTGCCAACTAGAAAACACATGAATCCAGAAACAGCACATAAGATTGTTTTCATGTATTTGGATCTTTTTAGTTGATAGTGTGACACTATTTGTGACTGAATTTTGACCAGCAGGGCTTAAAATTGGTTTTTATAGACACAATTCCAGTTTTTGTTCTTTTTTTTGCATTCATGTTAATGTTTAGCAAAAGTTGGCACAATTACAAGGATGACACAGCTATTAGGAGGAAAAGTCATAGTTGGCATTACAGAATTCTACATCCATTATCATCAAATGGATACTTCTCAAAAACAAAATTGTTCTAGCACACCAGACACTGATTTTTCTAAGACAGGTAAAAGTAAGCAATAAACCCCACTAATTCCTTTACACATGCATTTTACACAAATACATGGGTCATTTAGGGTGAGGGTCCAGCTTTGACCATATGGTACAAACTGTAACTTGAATGGAAAATAATCATTACTGATTTACTCCTCAAACTGCAAACCCAACACCCATGGAACCATATTTCAGGGCCCTGCAAGTGAGTCAGCTCAAGAAAATATTCTTCCCCACTCCCTTCCCCTAAGAGGCCCTCAGATCAAATTCATCAACAAATGGAGTATCTGTGAAAGGCCTGGGACCCTTGGGTGGAGATGAACAGAAAGACCTTAGAGGATCAACAGTTATGATATCTGTGACCAAGTATTACCATTAACAAGCTTCTAGTCACAATAAAGGGACCCCTAAATGACAATATAAATCTTAATGTTGAGTCATACATAAGTTTGATGTTTTCCTTTGCTGCTTTTTAAAAATCAATCCTGGACTTCCACAAGTGTCATGACAGATTTGAAAGTGTCCAGATTATATTTTAGGCTGCAAAATGTGTCAGATGAGGTTATTGCAACCATTGTCTCACAGCCAAAAAGTGAGTCATTTCATAAATCTAGCATAGATTAGCATGTATGTGAAAATGAGCATTTTATCACCAAGAAACAACTTTTCTAAGAATAAGAGAGGTATCCAAGAGTGGCTGATCATAGGTTGAAATTGGCTATTTTAAGGGCTTTGGGAGAAAGAAGATACTTCTTACTTCGTACTGATGATGAAGACCTGCAAAAGAACAGTTTCAGAGAGACCAATACTTGGACTTCTCTTGGTATGTACACGCAGAGATTCTGTGAAGACAGATTGCATGTATGAAGTCCCTATGTATTTCAGTATTTGCTGTTGAGCTGGGGACATCTTGGACTCTAAGGCTGACTTTTGAATTCTGTGGTTTTGAACAAAGAATACTGATGAGAAAATATCAAAGTTGATTTTCCCAAGTTTCTCCCAATTACATGCAATAGAGTGCCTCCCAGATGCCTTTAATGATCTCCTGGCATATGTTAGATTGTAATAGAGTGCAGCCACCTCCTTTCCCAAAGTGGCTCCTATTATTACACCCCAATATCACAGAAAAGCAAAGGAAAAATAAAATATGAGGTGGGAGAGGCAAGGGAACACTGCATGGAGAATAAAGTGTAAAGCCAGCCAATCAATATTTACCCTTGGAAGAGGGAGAAGGAGGAAGGGAGGGAGAGAGAGAACGCACAAGTGCACAGGGTGAGCAAGAGGAGCTGTTGATTGTTTTCTGGTTGAGAGAAGAGGTGACGATAAGGCTGGGATAAAGTGAGCCCTGGAAAGGGGGCAGGAGCCGGCAGCTGTATGCTAATGCTCACAGAAACCAAGCCTCTCCTTCCCCCATTAAAGCAGGCGGCCAGGAGGCCACACGTCACTGAACAAATAGGCTCTTCTAGACAAATAAAATAACACGCGTTGGCCTGCAGGGAGGAGGGAGTTAGGGGAGGGGACAGTGAGGGAGGGGGGAAGACAGAAGGGAAGAGTAGGAGTGAGGAGACGGAGGCATGGAGAGAGGTGTGAGTGAGAGAGGGAAGAAGGGTGGGAAGACAGAGGAGGGGAGGGGAAGAGAAAACATAAGGGGTGGAGATGAAAGAGACTGGGAGAACAAGGGAGAGGGACAGTCTGAGAGGGAGAGAGTCAGAGTGTGGGAAATGCCAGGAGGGAGAAGGAGAAGGACAGGAGGAGTGAAAGAGTTGGGAGGAGAGAACCAGTGGTGGGACAGGTGTGGGCAGTGAGTGGAGAAAGGGGAGAAAGAAAGGGAGAGACCAGGACCGAGGAAAGGAGAGACACGGAGAAGGAGAAGGGTGGAAAAGAAAAGGAGAGAGGAAAGGGGAGGGAAGGAAAGGAGGACAGAGGTGGGAGAAAAATCAGAAGAGAAGTAGGATTAGAGGAAGCAAATAGAAAGCGGGGTAAGAGCACATAAACCCAAAAACCAAAAGCAGGAACAAGAAAAGGGGGACCCAAGCCAAGGCAAAAAGTTCAGGCTTATGGTCCCCAGGAGCCTGGCTACCTCTGTGTGTATTCCTGGGCAGGAGAAGAGAGGGGAATACTGGAGTCGCAGTGGCCTTTCTGGTCAGTTTATGATGGGTTTTGTCCATGCCTTTTCTGAGATGGAGGCGTGCGAAAAATGGCGCATCACCTCACAGGTGGTAGCAGTCCCCTCGTTCGGCCACCTTCAATCCGAGCAATCTGAGCTGCTCAGTGCCACCGCAGTTCTTCCCGGCAGGCTACTCTGGTTATGAGTTTCTCACGTTTTCTAGCTTCGCCTTTGCTAGTTTTTGCCGATGCCACCCTTTCAGTCGTCCGGCCCGGGACCTTCCTGCCTCATCTCTCTCACCGGCTACGATGGTCCCAACCGAGGCAAAAACAAACGGTCCCGAGGGCACTTCCAGGACAGTTCCGTGGCCCCGGTGGCATACTGGGGAAGATAAAAGAGGCGGCAGCCACCCCTTTCGCCCCCAGTCGAGTAATGCGTGCGAAGCAGATTGGGGGGGGGGGGCACTTGACACTCAAGGGGAGGGACGTACTTGAGCGCTTCTGCTTCCGCGCCCGGCGGACGGCAAGGCCTCGCGGACTCTCCCTTGTTCCGCTTTCTTTCATGCACTCTCCTTTTGTGTGGAATTATTTAAACTGGAGATCCGAAGCAGCTTTATGCTAATGTGCCTAACAAAGGCTACAGCCCGCGGGCGGGAGCTCTAAAGGTGCCCAGAGGCCCGAGTAGCCGCACGGGGTAGCGGGCGGCGGGCTGCGCGTGTCTCTCGCGTGCCCCTGGGACTGACAAAACAACTACTCATTCCTGCAAACACAAAGCCTCTCCCGGGCTCGGGTCGCCGCGCATCGCCCTCTCAGGCTCGGCCCCTCCGGGACTTGATGGCGTGTACTAAAGCGGTAACGCACAGTCCAGGCTAGATCGTGGCTCGTGTACCAGGAGCGCCTGGGGTGAGGTTTCTGTAAATTAAGGAGAGCGGTAGCCCCAGAAGGAGGATTGGGGTGCGTGGGGGTGGGAACTTGACTGACTACTCCGTCCCGCTCCCCCACCCCCCACCCCCGCGGCCCCCGGCTTCGCCAAACGCTCTCCAAGCCGCAGGGTGTGATTGTGAACACTTTTGTTTTCGCCTCTCAGAGTTCAAGGGTTGCCTGGACTTGTGAACACCTCAGGAGACAATTCCTAGGCCGAAATCCCTATCCCCCACTCACCCCTTCTTTAACTCTCATTTCCAAGCTTCGAGCTTTCTAGAAACTCGCTGGAGCCAGACTCTTGTGCTGCGAGATCACAATGAACTCAGGCGCGCTTCCCGACGGCAGCCTGGGACCTCAAAACGGAAAATTTTAGAGAGCCCGTGACCTCTACCTCTGCAGCTGTCCAAGGATGAAGGCACAAACGGGTTTGCAAGGACTTGAAGCAACAGAGTCCGCCGTATTTTTCCAAAGCACCGGCCAGGACCCCACAGGAAAGGGAGGAGTCGCCTTGGACCTGAGAAGGACACTTCGGGGACCCTTCCTAGAATTCTTACGCCTGTCGGCTTCAGCGAAGCTACCTTGGAAAGGATGGGGGGTGTGGCTCAAATCAACGCTCAGAGTTTCCCCAACTCAACTTCTTTGGACCGGTATTACAAATGCAGTGCGCAAAGGTCGGCGCAGGGGCGCAGCATGGTGGCGCTTCGATCTAACCTGAGGAAGACAAATATCTTCACTCCATGTCCAGATCTCCGCAGACCCGCACATTCTGAGAAATAAAGTCACGCATAAAATAACGGAACCCAAGACCAGGTGCAGGAGTGCACGTCCTCAGAGCTTGCTGGTGGGGTGTGCATGCACGCGAGCGCAGCCTGATCCCTCCCTAGCTCAGGGTTATGAAATTAGTTTCTATTACTTGTACCTTTCAGCTGCCCATTTATTTTGACAGTACCCTTCCGAAAGCAGATTTCATTTTCGCTGCCAAGACTAGAAACCACAAATAAAAAAAGAAACGGACCCATTGAATCCCAGTATCTCTATAGTGTTCAATAGATTCTCTTGGTTTAATTCAGAGCCTTGTTTGAATTCGCTACATTCAGGCAGGCGTTTTGTTTTGTTTTGCCCCCTGCCTCCGCCCTCTTTACAATTATGGGTGTTATTATTTTTAAAGGATTCACAAGGTGACTAACTCTCCCTGTTATCTGTTTCATGAAAGAAGTGTTACACATGCCAAACTAAATATCCCGCAGTCAGTTGGGGATCGCTGACCGAGCCCTGACCTATTATTCCACAATCCAGATGGGATTCGTGATTAGAAAATAAAAGTGGGCAAAACGGCCCTGGAATCCCTTTCCCACTTCTGTTCATCATCAGTATTAACCAGTGTTCAAAGAGCAACGAAATATAACATCGGTTCCTTTTAGATTGTAACAATTTATAAATTTTAGACAAACTCATTTTAGGATTTCTAACTTTTTTTGCAGAACTAGCATTCATCCCACTTAGCATTTTCAAGTGAGGGTGAGAGCTTTCAAAATATATTCCATTATATGTATTCTTCTCTTTTCAGTATGTGAGTTAAAAAAATATCGTAAACAAAATCATCACTTTTCCCTTAACCAACTTGATTAACCCTAACAACTGTCCCATTACAACGTATTACTCATGCGGACTCATATTTTGAAATTCTGTTTAATTTCCACGCCAGGGTATTTTCAGAGGGAAAATCCGGAAATGATTAAATACCTTTAGCGGAATTAAGCATAAGCAAAACTCAGCAAGATCTATTAGGGTGCACAGGGCTTTGCAGAAAGACATCCGTTCCCTTCTTCAGTAAAGTGACATTTTCCTCACAATATATCTATCACACTTTACTTAGGTGGCTTTGCTACTTGTTCCCAAAGGTATGAGCGATCAGGGCCACTATGCACTCTTGGGGTTCTACCCCGGTCCCCAGAAATGCTGCCTTTTGTGATTCCTCGGGGCTGGGCTGAGAAGAGGATGGAAGCATAAGGCCGAGTCTGGGTCCCAACGATCTTCACTGTTGTGTTTTCCTGGTGGCACGGGGCGAGGGGGAGGGTGGCTGCAGCTTGTCCTCTTCGAGGTCACAGCCTGCCTTAGAGGACAGATTGCCCCCCACCACTACCCCCTCAGCCGGCAGCAAGCGTCGCTTTTGCATCCAGATTGGCCGCGACCCGTGCTCAATAGCTGGAGGTTAATTTCCTTCACAAAGGTGAAGGGGGCAGGGCTCCGGGGGTGCCTACGCCAAGACCCACGGCCCTTTTATTCCTCAGAACTTTGATTGGAGCCCTTGATTTAGCATCTGATGTCAACCGGCAGACAAAATGCCCGATCCGAATGAAAATGCATGAGGCCTCTCAAGGAGAGCTGAAACCAACTCCACTGGGGCGAAAGCGACTGACCGCGGGTTTCGGACTTTGCCGGTTCCACCAAAAATCAAACCTGACCCGGGCGACTGGTAGGCTCCGAGCGGCCTGCACCCGGCCCCTCGAAGGATGCCAATCACTAAGCTTCCCTGAACTTAAACAAAAAAGAGTTCAGAAATTTAAGTTCCATTTCGAAGCCAGTCCGTCCCCTTTAGCACAGCGTCTTCTGGCAATTGAAGAAGTGCGGTGCCAACTGCTTCTCTAAATCGAGAGAAACCTTTCCAAGACCTGGGGTCGCGCGCCCAGGTGGAGAAAACATCACCGGCGTTGCAGCCACAGGGCCTGATCCTCGACCTAAACTTGGAACCCCATTTTCGCTTGGATCCTGAGTCCCGCGGCCCACCCGTCCGATACGCGGGTTGGGTTTCTTCACAGCCCAGGCTTTGCAGCTATTTTCAATTCTCGATTATTTCCCAAACAATACGAGGAGTTCCTGTGCCTCCTTGGCCCCCTCTCTCTCCTCAGCAGTCCACTCAAACCTCTCTTGCGCCTGTTGTGGCCTACCACCGTCTCTACCCAATCAGTGCGCCCAACTTCCCCTCCGCTCGGAATCGGAATCGCGGATTGAGCCCTCCTGACATATTTGGGACCATTCTTCTCCTTTGTTGCTATTTTGCTCGAGACCCGCGGATAATCCCCGCGCGGGAGGGGGCATTCATTGTCGTGCTGATAGACGCGCCCATTTGGCGACTCCGCGCCCCCGGGAGGAGAGACACAAAGCCCAGGCACGTGCACCTCCCCTTAGAGGAGCAGCAGACCGTGAAGTGAGGCGGGGCCAGGCGTGTGCCTGGGCTTGGCGGGGTGGTGGCGCCGGACCAGGCGGCGACGGGGCGCGCGCAGGGGGCCCAGCGCCCTCAGGTACATCTGCCGCACCTACCCGGCGACCCCCAAGTCCCGACCCCATTTTTGCCTCTCCGTCGCCCTCCCACCCTACCGGGGGAGGAGCTGCGGGCGAGCTGATTGGCTACGGGGAACGCGGGAGGCGAGAACAATGGCCCCCTCCCCCAGTTAAAGGAGAGCGGCTCTCAGGCCCGGGGTCTGGGACGCGCGTGCAGAGCGTAGAGCCGGGCGGAGCCGCTACCCGCGCCACACAATTCCCGCAGCCGCCGTGCCCGTGCCACAGGCCGGGGTCACTGAGGCCGCCACAGCCGAGCGTAAAGGTGGGACCGAGACAGTGCCTTTCCCTCGCACTGCGCCAACATGCCCCGCGGCTTCCTAGTGAAGCGCAGCAAGAAATCCACTCCGGTGTCCTACCGGGTCCGCAGCGGTGAGGACCGCGACCGCACACACCTGCTCTCGCCGGGATGCCGGGGCGCTCGCTCCGAGCCCCCTGTGCCGAGCCCGGGCCCGAGTCCACTGCGGCAGCCACAGCCACAGCCCACGGAGCGCGCCCAGGCGGCGCTCGCCTCCTGTCTCTCTTGCGCGCCCGGCCAGCTGCCACCCCAGCCTGGCCCGCCGGCCGCGCACTTCGGCAACCCCGAGGCCGCGCACCCCGCGCCGCTCTACAGCCCCACTCGGCCAGTGAGCCGCGAGCACGAGAAGCACAAGTACTTCGAGCGCAGCTTCAACCTCGGCTCACCGGTCTCGGCTGAGTCCTTCCCCACGCCCGCTGCGCTGCTCGGAGGTGGCGGTGGTAGTGGGGGGAACGGTGCTGGAGGCAGCGGCACCTGCAGCGGCGACTCGCTGTTCTTTGCGCCCGCGGAGCTCAAGATGGGCACCGCATACTCAGCGGGCACCGAGGTGGCCCGTGGCCCGGTGCCCGGCCCTCCGCTGCCCCCCGCCGCCTCCCTGAGGTCCCCGGGCAAGCGGCCCGCGCCCTCCGCAGCCGCCCCGGAGCCTCCCGTCAAGGTGGCCAAGGCTCCGGGCGCCAAGAAGCCCAAAGCCATCCGCAAGCTGCACTTCGAGGACGAGGTTACCACGTCGCCTGTTCTCGGGCTGAAGATCAAGGAGGGCCCGGTGGAAGCTCCGCGGGGCCGCGCGGGGGGCGCGGCGCGGCCACTGGGCGAGTTCATCTGCCAGCTCTGCAAGGAGGAGTACGCGGACCCGTTCGCGCTGGCGCAGCACAAGTGCTCTCGAATCGTGCGCGTGGAGTACCGCTGTCCCGAGTGCGCCAAGGTCTTCAGCTGCCCCGCCAACCTGGCCTCCCACCGCCGCTGGCACAAACCGCGCCCTGCGCCCGCCGCCCGTGCGTCAGAGTCCGAAACCGCTGCCAGGGCTGAGACGCGGGAGGCGACCGGCGGCGGCAGTGACCGCGACACGCCGAGCCCGGGTGGCGTGTCGGAGTCAGGTTCGGAGGACGGGCTCTACGAGTGCCATCACTGCGCTAAGAAGTTCCGCCGCCAAGCCTATCTGCGCAAGCACCTGCTGGCGCACCACCAGGCGCTGCAGGCCAGGGGCACGCCGCCCGCGGCCCCGCGGGAGGACGTATTGGCCTTGTACCCCGGGCCGGAAGAGAAGGCGCTGCAGGAGGAGGCCGGAGACGGTGAGGCAGCCGGTGTGCTGGGCTTGAGTGCCACGGCCGAGTGCCACCTGTGTCCTGTGTGCGGGGAGCCGTTCTCCAGCAAGGGCGCCCAGGAGCGCCACTTGCGCCTGCTGCACGCCGCCCAGGTGTTCCCCTGCAAGTACTGCCCCGCCACGTTCTACAGCTCGCCTGGCCTCACGCGGCACATCAACAAGTGCCACCCGTCCGAGAACAGACAGGTGATCCTCCTGCAGGTGCCCGTGCGTCCGGCCTGCTAGAGCGCGCCCTCCATCCCGGCCCTCCGAACTGTGCCTTCGCTTGGAGACCCATGAAGAGAGTGCTCCCTGCGCCCCCCGGACCCGCGTTGCACCGGGGCTCTCACCCCGGGCGAACGTGTTGTCTCCACTCCTTGTGGTGTGGCGTGACGGTAACCCCAATTCTCTCGTTGTGACTCCTTTTGGAGACCCCTCTTTTGCGTCGTGTCCCTTTCCCCCGTGGCGCAATAGGAGCCAGTCTCTTCTGTACAAGGGAGAAAAGCTGTACTCGTTTGTCTCGTGGTTGGAAACCTCCCCTTGGAGGGGAGAGCTGTTTTTCTTACTAGTATTCGCTGTGTTCATGGTCTAGAAATGCGGTTTGCTCTCGCCTACCAATCTCTGCTCTCTATGTAGCGTACGGGTTGTTTTGGGTGAATCTTGAGGAAGAAATGCCTTTATATTTCACAGGCTGTAAGTTGAACTTCCCACACGATTAGCTTTATTATGGCTTGTGAACTGCTGAAGTCTGGCTTTACCTTTTTGTATGTGAACAAATCGAATTGCTTAAAAAAAAAGAGTTTTCTTTAGTATAGCCACAAATGCCTTGAACTGTTGTCTTTTTGGGATTGTTTTTGGGGGGAGGGAAGGGAATTTTCAGAAGATGCTGTAGAAACTGCCTCAGTATTTCATGTAAGACTTTTGGGTTTGGCCGCCTTTGTTGAGTGAGGTAGGACTATATGAGTTCCCTCTAAATGTATATGTTGATTTATGAGTAATTGTTATTTATTCTTTATTTATTTATATTAATTATGAAGATTAAGATATTATTTGATTGCGGATCTTTTTTTTTCTTGGTGTGTGTGTTCCCCCTGCCACTCTTGACATTTCACTGTGCATTTTACAAGAGAGCCTTTTTCTAAAGGGATCTGCTAAAATTTTTAACTTTTATACCTATCTGAGCGCATTAAAGACAACCTACCATTTTATTCTGCTTGGAGGGCCCCTGAGGCCCTGTAGGACCGATAGCTCTTACCTTTAAATGCAATCTCTTTTCTACATACATTATTTTCTTAAGTGTTAGCTATTTATAGAAAGCTTCAATAGAACTGTTTCAACTGTATAACTATTTACTATTAAAATAAAATATTTTCAAAGTCAAAGTAGGGTGTACTTATTTCTGTATCATATGGTTTCAATAAGGATTTGAAATGGAATTTCAGAAGATTTTTTAAAAGTCTATTTTTTTAATTGAGTGAAGAAAAACCACTACCGTCATGAGGATCTTGGATTTTTAGACCTGAGCCTAAACTGCTGGATTCTGCCCTCTGGCAGTACAAGGGTGCAGTTTAAACCCCCTAACTAGAGCTGACAGCTTATTGGGGGTCCTTAAAAATGTACTGGAAGGTTAAGTTAGAATGGAAGCTTTGAGAATCTTTTTCAGAGAAGTCTAGATAAGTACACATAAATCTATCCTTTCAACCAAAGAGGCTAAGGAATATCGTGCTAATTTAGCAGATCCTTTATTTCCTGACAGCTTGGGGCTCAGTGTAACAGTAATTCTTCAAATAAGTAAAATGGTTAAACTAGAAGAAAGTAGAATAATTTTACAGTCAGATTTTCAAAGTAAGGGAAACAGACCAATTTTTGGATGCAGTGGAAGTTAGGCAACTGGGTTTGAGGTAAGAGCTCAGAAATTATTTACCAGTCAGGTGAGTAATCCATTTGGGTGGGGGTGGAATAGAACGCCATGTGTTTGGGGTATTAAATTTAATAGCAGGTCATTACAATGTTTTCCATTTTGTGTCACTCAGCAATTTGAAGAACAAGTCTGTCGCTCATCAGTTAACATTTTGAGTTGTTTTCTTCTGCCTTTGAAACACTGATTAGCAAGCTGTGCTAAACATCACAATTGTGCTTTCCCCTTCCTTTTGTGGTATGTCTTTGCAACTTTTCCTGTGACCCACTAAATCTTCGTTGGTTTGCAAAGAGATATTAGAAATATGCACAGGGCCTGCATTTCTGAAGGGCATATCTGGAATGGTGGTGGGAAGGGCAGCATCTGAGAAACTTCAGACTGTGAACCTATAGCTTTGCATAAGAGAGGGTTTAGTGAAAGGCTCAGCTCTCGGGAATATTGAATATTCCACCCTTTGTGACGAATAGACTAAGAATAATAATGAAGGAGAAGCCACTGCAGGTAAGTTGCCTCAGGGACAAACTGCATGCTGTCCTTTGAATTGCTGATGACTACATATTTTACCAGCTTGGAAAACAGGAAGACAAAAGCTCAGTGCCCACAGAGCATAAAAGCACGGGGACAAATGGGGACAAAGAAGTATTTTTAACATCCTGAAAACTTCAATTTGTAGGTTGACGGCTGCTCCCTGTGAGTAACAATAATATTAAAGTTTAAAAAAAAGTTCACTCTGAATTACATTGTACATTAAAAGATCCCTCATACTGAGGTGTATGTTTTATGTCATTAAATTTTTTCCTTAAAAACCTGATGGTTGGCTACACATGATGACTGGAATCCTGTGTGCAGGTATGGCACCTTGTCATCTGTGTTCAGCTCATTGTTTTCCTTATCCATGATGGTAAATAAAATTTGGTTTACAAATGTGTTCCTTTAAATTCATTTTGATTTACCAAATATACCTTTTCTAACACAGAGACCATATTTCATTTATGTAAGATATTAAGCAAAATTGTATAGTAAATGAAGTATATTGAAGTTGGCTAAACAGTGTAGAATAAATCAAAACACTTGGTCAGTTATTTCAAAGTAATGCAATATGAGCTAGCAGAATATTCCAGAAGAAGGAAATCCATTTCCTTTATATACTCTCTCTCTCCCCCCACTCTCTCTCTCTCATTCCTCCCTGGAAAATAAGGTCACAAGGTTTCCTATTACAGAATATCAAGTGATCAAGTATGAAGTGCACTTACCTTATTTATAAATATGCAAAGGATGCTGAGGACATCCTGTGTTCAGGTTGCTCCAAGTTTGGACAACTATCACTGGAAACCAGCCAAGATTCTATACCCACCCACAATGAGGGACTGATGCTGGGAGGGGTGAAGTGGTCAGGAAAAGTAAGCAGATCAAGGAGGAAGGAGCTAAAATACAGAACAAATAAAGGAAAGGATTTTATTTTTGCCAGTGATCTCCACACTTTCCTACTTCCATTCAAATGTGGTGGAACAAGCAAAAGACTGTTCAGCACTCCTTGGTTCTGAAACAACATCCAGACATGCCAATTTGCCTTTTCTTCAAAATTGATAATGTCTTCTCCAGGCACATTTCCCTGGAGGCCTGGAGAAGTTGGGGATATGGCTCTCACAGCAAGAATGTTGTAGCGATATGTCATCACCCTGGCCAGCTCCTCAGGCCTGGGCTATGGAGGCAACATTACTTCTTCAGCACCTTCCACCTGGAGCTCCCACTGGGTCTATCAATGGGATCATACATACCCACATCACACAGCAGAGGCAGCTGATCCAGTGGAACTCGTAAGCACAATACCAAGGTTAGAGGTTCAACAGCTGTCCATGAGGATCCCGTGGTGGAGCAAAGCAGAGTCCTAGAGGCTGCTGAGCTCTGGCCACTTGGTGACACATATGGATATGTTGGGGATACCAGGTGCACAAGGTAGGGTTGGCCAATGCCAGTCACCAGGCAGATGTCACCCAGAGTAGTCTGTGCCTAGATGCTGTGGCTAAGGGTGCTCTCTTTCACATTTGCTTCCATTAGCTCTGCTGCAGGATCCCACAGACTAGCCTTGGCCTCCACCAGCTCCAGGTCCATCTTGTGGACTCAATTCTACAGGCATCCACAAAGTCTTCAAACAAAGCAGGAGAATGTGTCAAGAATCCTAGAGAATAGATAACATCGTAACTAACATCTTCACCCACCCAATGTCTTGCAAAAGAGGAAGGGTCTGGTGGCATGGGCAGGCCCTTTGGCTCTGTTGATTCCCTTGGTTCCTACAGACCTGTGTGTCCTCACCTGTCAGCTGGAGAGAATGGGGTTCTGTGAGACACAGTGAGACATCTAGGAGTTCCAGAGAATGAGAGGCAGCAAGGATCCCAAAGGGAGGAGGCATTTTCTAAATGGCAGGAGAAGACCCACTATCTTGGGAGTGCTATTCTGTGGCATTTAGGATTAGTTATAAATCCACTGGCCTGTGACAGGCAGACTTTGAGCAAACTTGCTATCTTTTTGCAGAAGGGACATTTTGGTCTTGCAGACAAATTTTCTGGCAAATAGTCCTTAGTTTATAGAGTCAGTTATGTGTCATATATACACATAGTGTATGTTAGCTTATTACAGAGCCAGTTTAAGTTATAGCCTTTTTATGGCAAGACAAAAGAAACCTGTAATGTTTGGTAGTTAAAGGCAAAAGCTGTGGAATTTAGAGAAGATCAAGGGGCGGGGAGAACTGACTTATAGAGAAAGACCCATGAGATGGCAAACCACATCTGTATCAGAGAATCCACTGAATAGCAACATGTAAGGATCTTGAATCCATCTGATTGCCAAGATGGTATCAAAGCATGGGGCACACAGTACAGTGGTCTAAAGACATTTAGAATTCTATCCTAAATTATGGAAACATCTGGTTAATGTTTAGCAAAATAACTTGAACATAATAGCTAAAAATTCCACTCAGCTGAGAGAGAGGGCAACCAAATGCATCTTCAAGTTACATCTCATCTTTACACACCAGGTCTGTCAGGAGAAAGTTCAGCTATTGTTAATATAACAAAAATGGTTTAAGTGACATGGCTGTAAACTGGCAGCCAAGGAGAGTGAACAATGACACCTTCATTGTACTAGTCAGTGGGGGCAGTAGAGTCTGTTGAGTGTGCATGTGCACTGTGTGGCTGTTGCATTCAAAATGACTGATCAAGTAATGCAACAAATCTTCATCAAATGTTGTGTTAAGCCTGAACATTCCTCTGTGTACACTATTCAGATGATTCAGAAGGCTTCAAGGGACAATGCAATGAGTGCAGTGCAAATGAAAATGCAGCACATAGACTTCAAAGATGGTTGAACATCTATTGAAAGTGATCCACTTTCTGGAAGGCCTGCAACAGCAGAATACCTGAGAATGTTGAACATGCGTATGAGCCGCAATCAACAAAGATCAGTGACTGACAGTGCGAGAACTAGAAGCTGATCTGGGGATTCCAAAAACTACCATGTCTGGGATTTTGACCCAGGATCTTGTCATGAAACATGTCATGGCAAAATCTGTTCAGCGACTTCTGTTACCAAAGCAGAAGAAACATCGCACTGCAGTTGTTGATAACTTGATTCTAACTGCTACCAACGAACCAGATTTCCTCAAGAAGGTCTTAACTGGAGATGAATTGTGGGTCTATGGCTGTGATCCATTAACGAAGGCCCAGTCATCCCAATGGAAGTCTCCGTGTTCTCCACACCCAACAAAAGCATGGCAAAGTTACAGGTTTTTTTGATTGGGAAGGTGATGTCTATGACAAATACACCCCTCCAGGCCAAACAATTAATAAGGGGTGCTACCTCAATGTTCTTCATTGGTTGAGAGGTGCAATACCAAGAAAACAGCTGCAGCTATGGGCAACTGGTGATTGGCAGCTTTATCACAATGCACCCACTCATGCATCATGTCTCAGTTAGAGTTTTTTGGCAAAACATGAAATCACCCAGGTGACTCAGCTCCCTTACAGCCCAGATTTGGCATCCTGTAACTTCTGGCTTTTTCCAAAACTAAAATCACCTTTGAAAGGGAAGATTTCAGACCATCAATGACAGTCAGGAGAATATGGCAGGGAAGTTGATGATAATTCCAAAAAGGATTTTCCAGAGTGTTCTGAACAGTGAAAGAGGTGCTGAGAGAACTGTGTAAGGTCCCAAAGTGCCTACTTTGAAGGGGACTGAGGCATCATTGTCTATGCACAAAGTTTCTTGTATCTTCTTCAATAAACGTCTCCATTTTTCATATTACGCAGATGGATACTTTCTGGACAGACCCCAGCATTTATTGAAACTTATTTCTTCATTACCAACCGGTAGCATTCAATGACCCATACTCATCAGGAAAGTCTGGTATGCTCATTAGTTCTGGGT